TTACTATTTTCATAGAGTGTTAAATTTAAAAGACCACACTGGACAAAAAGCATCGGTTCTTCAAAATCCAAAGTTCTAATTTTAGCTATCCAATAAATGGAGTTTTCAAAGTCTGAATTTCGTTCGACAGTGAATTCTGATGACTGTCGTTCATTCGAGAGACACATTGCTTAAAAACAAAATAATAATAATAATAATAATAATTTCAATTTAAATTGACTTTTGTACTTTTAAAAATAATACAAAAAAAAAAGTTGAATGTGTAAAAGTCGTTTTTCCGTCTTATTACTGTGTAATAAAAATACCTCATGTTTTCTTTCCCAGGATTTCATGGCCAATTTGTATTTTTCGAATTCGTGACACCAATCGGAATATATTTTTTGATAATCGTAAGATTTTTTCGGTGATGTACATCTAAAAGCGTCAATTGTGATGTTATACGAGCATAATAGAGCGCCATTTAACCAAAAATCGTAACGTCCAGCATCCAATTCTGAGACTCCTATTATAACTAAACCGTGTTCGTTTGTTTCTATGTATTTATCTCTCCTTTAAAAATATTAATATTAATTTACTTTGGCCATTACTATTATTATTATTAAATTTTTTCATAAAGACATTCGAGTTTTAAAATACCTAAATACAATTTGATATTTTCCTTTTTCTTTACTGTAATGGTACCAAGCAGATGCATATGAATGCAAAGCTTCCGCGCCTTTAGGAAAGCATCCCAAATGAATGCTCTGACCCCAAGTGGCCACCACTTTTTTTTTCAATGTAGAAGAATCACAAATTCCCACCGAGGTATTACTAACATCTTGAAGTAAACCAAAATTAAACGGACGGCACGACTTTGTATCTTTATCCCAACCACAATATGGGTCGCGCACGCACCTAATACAGCTGTCGTAATTGTTACAAACAATTAAATTCAACTGACGAACTCTGAAATCTGTAGCAACGTATATGGCTTTGTGCTATACAAAAAAAAAATGTTTAAATGTGTTACAAAATTAAATTATTTATAATTTAAATAAAACACAGTGGTTGGAAGGTAATTAAATTTCAAATTTAGCAAAAAAAAAGAAAAAAATTTTCAAATTGAAAAATTTAACAATTAATTGTTTAAGTAGATAAAGTTAGTAAATATTTGTATTTTATAAAATTTTTAAATAAATTATAACTAAAAAAAAAAAAAAAAAAACTTACCGAATTTGATATTTCCATAGCACGAATCGGTTCATTCGGAGTCGCATCGAAGATATCAAGAAGTGCAGAAAATTTGTCTCCGCCGTTTAACCACTGAACAATTTTATAAACTTTTCCTTCACCTATGAAAAAAAAAATTTTTTTTTTTTTTTTTAAAAGTTTAATTATTAATTACATTTTTCGGGCAAAAAAAAAATGCGGAAATAATAAAAATATTTAATTCTTTTTTTGAAACTTACTCGTTGCTGCGTAAAATAAAGTATATTCAGATTGATCTACAAGTGAATCTATCTTAATTTTATCTACAACCACATGAGTAAATAAAATATCTCTTTTATAAAAAACGGGCCGATCATTTTCATGGCGCACGGCTTCATCCATAAGCGGATGCGATCGGATAAAATTCAAAACTGTATCTAAAATAATAATTTTATTACGGAAAATTACCATTATATATCTTTAATTTATTATACCCAAGTTTACATAATTTAGATTTTTTTTTTTTTTTTTTTATTCCACCTGGAAGAGTTTCGGTATTATTTACACATTCTCCGGGTCTCGGTTCTGGAACCTTATTACTCAAGACCGGTAGCCATGCCGAACTTGATGTCGCTTGTTCTTTAAATCTACCTTTAAAAGCTTTTATAATATCTTTAATATCGTAAGAACAAATGGCGGACCCCATTAATCCATTCATATTTGTGGTGAAAACTCCGTAAAATTTCGTATTATCACCAGGAATTTTGTATACATTTTCTGAGAACGAATAAAATTTTGTTAAAAAAAAAAAAAAAAAAGTAATTATAATAATTTAAAATAGTAAAATTATCAATGAGTCATAAAATCATAACTTACGAATTTCATTGAAATAAAATGGAAATTCACCGGGAATTGAACAATTAAGTCTCGCTTTTAAATAAGTCGCCCAGTTTTGCGAAAGAATGTTTTTACCTCCTGTGTCCCGTTTGCAAACCCTTGCCACTCTAGAATATATGCTTTTACCACAATTTATATATTCTACAGCTGTTTCTCGAAAGAAGAAAAGAACGTATTCTCCCACATCATATGATCCCACGAAATTCGGTTCTAAAAAAAAAAAAAAAATACATAAATAAATCTCTTTCAAATGAAAAATAAATAATAATCTCGATTATGACACTCATTAATGGTCGGTCAATAGATAAAATTATTCATTTTTACGCGACGGTTTCTTATTATTAATATTATCATTATTTTACTTCAAAAAATAAATAAATAAATAAATTCGTTAAATTAAATAAAAACTCTCCGACAATTAATGTTTTACATTAAAACGTGGAAAGTTGAGAATTTAAATTTTTACCAAAAATAAAATCTTATCACGTTTAACTTGATCAAAAACATCCAAAGATAAATTAAAGATTGAATAAATAATTGAAAATATATTTAAAATTTTACTTCAGGACAATTTAAATTAACTTTTTAATTTAAAATCGCATGTGAAAGAAAAAATTTCAAAAGAAATTATTCCCTTATTAATTAATTTTTCCCTATTAAAACATTATTAAATAAATTATTTTAACAATCGATACGTTAAAAACTCTTTTAAAACGTTTATGCATTACGTATCAATATAAAAAGAATTAATAAGAAAAAATTAAATATAAATTTTAAATGGACTTACTATCCAACCATTTGGAATCGTATTTAAGAGTTCTTTTAAAATTAAATTCTTTCCTTCCCGTCGTTGTATTATGCAAATCGGTACGAAAAATTACGGTATCGGCTTTTGTAAATTCAGCATTTGTTCCCGAGTAAAGACCGGGCAAGTTTCCCGGATTCCCTTCTTCTACCCAAACGGCAGTACTATTATCAGAAGGATCGTATGGACATTTAGCAATTCCAGTTCCGATGCCAGGAACGTATTCGTGACGAGGCAATCGTGTCAAATTTCCCTGCGAAAATTCTTTTTTATAAATATCGAAAAACATTACAAGAAAAATGAAAATTTCTTATTTTACACCATTACATGAGGATATGTGGCGTTTAATTTTTTTTTTTCGTGTACCTACTAAATGATTAAAAACAGTAACTTGCCCTATTTTGCCCCTATAAAATTTATTTTTCTTTTGTTCGCGACTCGGAATTTAAATTTTTTAAGAAAAATAAATAAATAAAAAATGAGATAATTCAAACTTACATAAATAACCCAATCCTTTGGATTATGAGCATTCGTACCGCATACATAAAAACGAGAACCGTCACCTATGGCTTGAATTACTCTAACGTGATTTCTACAGTCGAAATACTGTAAAATAAAATTACTATTTATTAATTTTTTTAAAGATAAAATTTTAAATTAATTAAAAAAAAAAAAAAAACATATGTCACTGCATCTTAATTAAAAACCGAATTGAAATTTTCGAATTTCATCAAGAATTTTTCCAATAAAAAAAAAACTTGCCTCAGATTTTCCTTTTGACACGCAGTTACCAACGTCTGACGGTTCTAATGAAAGTGAATCTCTCTTTAAAAAAAAAAAAAAAGTATTAATTATTATTAAAATACAATCAAAGCATTAATATTATTTGTTTTTAAAATTAAATTTTTCATAAATATTACCTCACAGCTTGAATGACTTATGGAATTCAATTTCAATTTGAATAATTTGTCCCTGGAACAAAAAAAAAAATTAGCAATTTAAAAAAAATTTTTTTTAAACACACGCACACACACACACACACACACACACACATATATATATATATATTTATATATATCCGTGAGTGTGTGTGTGTGTGTGTGTGTGTGTCACATTGCATTAGTATACATGCATACATTTTTTATTATGGCAACGGATATTTGTATAAAACCCTATTGTTTTCAATCAAGTATGTACAATCACCTGGTAATCATTCGATTACTTATGAATAAGTATTTTATAGACTGAGAATAATAAGTACTGCAAACTTTATTATTTTAACCGAATGTAAAGTAAAATTTTTTTATTTTTGTCAATTGTATGCAAATATTCTCTCCATTTTTATTTTCATTTAAAAATGAATACTTACATGGCTCCAACGTAAAGGGAATTCCTTTTTTCATCTAAATAAAATGTTCTGTAATACAATTTTCCACATGTAAATTCTTGAATGCTCCCTAAAAGTAAAATGAAGTAAAAATTAATTATTTATTATTTAAAAAACATGTTATTGAATACATTATTTTCAAATTTGGAAATTATCAAATTGAAAACCAAACAAATGAATAATCGCGTTGACGTTTTCGATGAAGCATTGATGAATTACAACTTCATCCATTAAAATTTATGAACTAAAAAAATTATATATATATATATATATATATATATATATATATATATATATATATATAATTTTATAATCATTTAAGACATTATTAACATTGTTTAAAAAAATATTTTATATATTAACTTACCATTACCGGTCTGGTCGTGAGCATTTCCTTTATCTGCTATTAGTAACAATGCTACTATAAATAAGGTTTTTTCCAAAAATGCTTTCAGAAACGCAGCCGAAAAAATCTCCATATTTTTAAATTTTTGTTCTTTTAAATAATTCTTCCTTACACTTTATAGTGTACCAAAAAAAAAAAAAAAAAAAATGTATAAACTCTAGAAGTTTTTACTCCTGAAAAATTAAAAAATTTAAAAATACTTTTTTTTATGAAAAACGAACTCGATTAACATTAATTTAAGAGCTATTTTAAAAAAAATTTTAGTGTTTTTTTTTTTTTTTTTTTTTTTAAATTAAAGGCGGATTTTTTTTTTTTTTTACGATTAATAAAATAAAACTTTGGTTAAATATTTTAAAAATACTCAAATAAAATGGTTTTAGGCAATAAAAAATTAAGTGTTTGAGAGTTATTTGGAATTATATAAAATACAAAAATTTACATCAAAACTTATTAAAATTAATTTAAACCAGTTTAAATTATTGGTAACAATTGAATAAGATATTAAATAAAAGTGTAATCATTTCAATAGAATAATAAATTTTACACTGAAAAATATTTAAAATAATAATCAAATAAATAAATATATATATATATATATATATATCCATTTTAAAATTGTTTTTTACCCAGATATTATTCCTAGAATTTAAATAATTAATTTCAAACTAAAATGTTTGGAATATGATAACAATTTGAATACCATTGAACCACAGAAACAAACAATTTCAAAAATTTGAAAAAGAAAATTAATAAATACATTTTTTTACTTTTATTCTCTAAAGTTTGACTAATAGGAATTTCTTCTCTGTTTTTTTTTCATAAATTTTATTTACATCTCCAATTAGTTAAATTTATCATTAATTATAACATTAAATCAAAGAAGTGCAATCTAAACACTATTAAATAAAAAAAGTTTTTTTAAAACAGCAATAATAGCAGTAGTAGTATTTTTTTTGTTCTCGAGTTACAATAATTTATGGTACAATTTAAACAAAACCTTAAGGTATAAAAATTTTACACATGCTCAATTTTAAAATTGAATTTGAAATAATTACTTGGTGATAATAGTTTTACAAAAAAAATAGAACATATTATGTTCAATTAATCAAGTAAAAAGTAAAGTATATTATATGATAATTAGTTTTGGTATCAATTTTATGTCTGGAAAAACCAATAATAAAATTTTCTAGTTTTTTAATGATTTGAAAAATTTTAACTAAGCAATGAAAAAACAAATTTCATAAGAATAAATATTCAGTATTATTGGTTCATAAATAAAACTAATTTATAATCACTATTTTCTGTTATTTCACACTGACTATAGTAAATTAGTTTAAAAAAAAAAAAAAAAATTTTTTTTAATAATAATAATTACTATTATAACATTTTTCAACTTAAAAAATTTGACTAACATAAAAATATATTGTTGCTTAAATTAAGCAATAATTGAAAAGTGGAGTCGACTTATTTTTAAATAAAAATTATACCTTATTTTACTGTACATATATATACATGTATATATGCATACATTTTTATATAATAAAGACATTAGCAGGTAATAATAATGCAGTGAAAAGTAAACGACAATCAATTTTACACATTTTAAAACATTTGCTTTAAAAAAAAAAAAAAAAAAATTATTATAACCCTTATATTTTTCCTTTCTATTTCTTATTGCAAGTAAAAAAATACATAAATAAATATAATAAAATAAATTCCATGCTTAAATATAGAAAAAATTTGGTTACAAAAAATCATTACTGCAAATGAAATGCTAAATGAAACTTAAAATTACGTACCTTTCAACGACTAATCATTAAGTGTTAAATGTTCTTCAAACGTTTAAATATACTACTGTAAAACATTTAAAAATACTTGAGTACATAAATTTTAAAAAAGATATTTATATATCTTCATATAAAAAAATTACTAATGAGTTAGTTATCCCATCCCAAAAACAGTATATGGAACCACGAAGTACTACCCAGCACGTCTTCTCCAGCAAACAAACCCAAATGTCACAACTACAAGTAGTCAGATAATTTTTGTAAACGTACTATAATCGAAGCATTAACATTGATTCTTTTAATAAAATTGCATTTTTTCCGAAGCCTTACGAAAATTATCGGAAAAAGACGAAGTAATTTTTTAACAATGATTTTATTATTTTAACCGTAAAACCGCCTCATATTTTACAACAATATTATTAAATAAGACTTTGTCAAAATAAATATTTAAACTTTTACGAAAAAAAATTTTGGAAAACGCAAAATGAAAACAATAAAATGTAAAATAAAATAATGAAATATTATTCTCCAGTCCCGATGCGTAAAACTGCCTTCTTCGTTTCCAGGCTTACCAACCTCAACTTCAAATTCAATCTTGGGCGAAATCCGTTTGTTTTTTTTTTTTTTTTTTTTGTTAAACCGTAAAAAAATTTTTATCATGACGATTATTGTTTGCTTTTATTTTCTCATTCGCTAAAGTTATTATCACGCATCCTCATTCATAAATTTTCAAAGTTCTACGGATTAGTCAAAAATAAAATACTTATAAAATTTAAAAATTTTTAATAAAAAATTCATGCTTTTTAAAAAACGTTATGTTCGTCTTCTGAGATATCAAAAAAAAATTTTGTTCAAACGTAAGCAAAGAGAATGATGAATAACAAAATAACCCAGGAAAAGTTTTAAAAAACCGAAAAAAGTCCGGCAAAAAATTAAGGCACATCTTGATTGTTAATAAAGTTAGAAAACTGAGATTTTCCTTTTCAAATAGTACCCATTAAAAACTAATTACCGCCGTCGGATTGTACAAAAAAATAATAAATACTCAATCAATATGTTATGTTTCAAACTTATTGTTATAACCGAAATTCATATAAAATGAATTTAAAAAAAAAAAACTTTGAGTAATGTCGAGCGTTGACTGTGCGTTACAAGTTCATATGCTGTACTAACAAGACATCAAAGATGGCGAAACGTATAAAAACAACCGTTTTAACCGAAAACAATTTATAAAATTAAAAAACGTGAAACACTTACAATTCACACAAAAATTTAACGAAAATCAATTAAAAAATACGCTGCATATATATACAAATGTTTTTCCTCCCTTTAAAAAAAAAAATTATATTTATTCACGTATAATTTATACATATATATTTATATATTAATAACAAATGAAGACATAAAAGAATTTTTTCATAATTTAAGCACAAGAATATTGCAAAACCAACTTATCAAATTCTGATTCCTTTACACTGTACTCTTTGACATAAGTGTGGCTTTTATGAGAATCTTGAATATGTGTTAAATATCTTTTTGCAACTTCCTGAGGTTTCCCCGAAAGTCTCGATAAAACAATTAAATTTATTAAAGAATCTGAATTATCCGAATCTTTTGAAATGGATTGTTGCAACGCCGATTCCGCTTCTTCAAATTTTTCCTGATGAATAAAACAAACTGCTTGGCCATTGAGAAGCAATGGCGTTGAACCATGTTTATCAATTATTTCTTGGAATATGTAGAATGCATCATCAAGTTTTTCTCCACCCTGGGAATTTTTTTTTTTTTTTTTTATTTTTCTTACTCAATACAGTATGATAGATAAAATGCGGAAAATAATCAATTTATAATAAGAAAATAAAATTTTTTTACTTACCATGGCAATATTTACCCAGGCTTGACTCAACTGAGTCAAAATAGCATCTTCATCTTTGTCCTGCATGTTTTTTAATTCCTTTCTGGCTAAATCTATTCGATCCATTTTTAAATAGATTTGAAGACTCAAAGCAGAACTGTGAAATATTAAATTATAATAAAAATTTTATCGATTTAATGAATTGACACTAAAATTTTTGCAGAGTGTCGATGGCTGTAGTCTTTTGCTTCTTCAACTTTCATTCTTGCATTTGTGCTGCATTATTTAACAAACTAATCAATTATATGTAAAAGTTATTAAAAATAAATTGACTATGACATTGTTATTTTACATTTATTGGATTACAATAAAATTTTAATTTTGAATTATCGCAATTTACATATGAGGAAAAAAAAAAAAGTTGAAACTATTAATTTATACTATACTATTTCTAACTATTAATAGTGATTGACTGATTATTTTACTATCCCAATATTTTATTTAATTGTTATTATTATATATATATATATAAGAAAAAAAAAGGAAATGCTTACCATTCCAAATTATCTCCTTGGTGAAGAATTTGAAGTGCACTTTCATAATTTAGCTCATGGTAATAAATGATTGCTGCTGTAATAAACAACAAATTACTAGATGTTTTAACATCTTTAGAAAGTATATCATCCATTTTCTGAACAATTACATTTTTATCCTGAGCTAAATAATAATCAACTAGTAATTTCAATGGTTCCAAATAAGGATGACAATTCGCTTTAAGTTCATTTCTGACAATTGTATATCTTTGTAGAGCAATGTAAGATCTATAAAGATATGAATCTATTTCAAGCTTCACATCTGAATCATTAATCTGCAATGAAATTTTTAATATTTTATCAGAGAATGTTAATACATATGAAATAATAATAAATAAACAAACAAAACCACTTATTATATTTTTTTGAATTTATGAATAATTTATTGTAATTGATATTTCATGTCAATGAAAGATTACTTAAAAAAATATTAAAAACAATTAAATATAATATGATGTATTAACAATTTGGTGACAAAAATTTCATTTTAAATCACAATATATGGTACTTTTATTGGTAAATGATTAAACTACTTATCTAAACCTTTAAAATAAATATTCGGAATGAGTACTCACAATAAAAATGTATTTATAAAAAATTTAATTCTCATAAACAATACGTTTAACTACTTTACTTGGAAAAGGGGGGAAAAAAAAAAAAAAAAATTGTACTTAATTGAAAATCAGAAATATTAAAGTAAACGATGACAATTCTGTCCAAGTAAAAAATATTGATAATTCCTTTTGATAATTTTTTTTACAATTATTTCAACCTATTTCTGAAATATGAAATAAAACTCACGTTAGCATTTTGAGCTTCGGTTATGCAAAATTGATAGTTTCCAATGTAATAAGCATTTTTAATTTCTAATAATGCATCAGAACTTTGATGGCGTGACATTTTTACAAGTGTTTTTTAATTTAAACCGGAAGTAGGTTTCGAGTGTCGTATTCTAATATTTTTAAAAGTATACACACACACACTCGATGTGTGATAAAATTTATTAATAAGATTTATTGCAAAATACCATGCATATTATTACTTTTTTCAAATTACGCATTTTCACTAAAAACAAAAATTATTCATTAAACTTGAAAATTTTAAAGTTACACACTTGGCTACGAATCTGCGGAAGTTCATGATTATTCGTAAATATTTGGCTTTTAAATAATAAAATTTATTTATTCGTTCACGGAAAAGTCAAAAAATATTGCATTTACGCATATTTTGTGATTGTTTTTTTTTTAATGAAAACGTAATAAAAAATATTTAATGGTGATGTGATAGTGAGAAAGTCTTGCCTTTCATTTGTACATTAAATATGAAGAATTTTCTTGAAAGGACATCTGAATATAAGTCAACAACTAATAATTTTAAATTTTATGTGTCTGCCAGTCAAGATTTACAGGTACTAACTAAAAATAAAAAATTAATATTTCAAATATTAATTTACCCATTATTTATTTTTGCTTGTGTAAATTTTTAAAAATTTGATTAACAGTATTATAAAAAAAAATATTTATGTTATACTTAGTTTCAAAAGTCCTGTAATTCAAAGCTGTAAACTTTAAATTTGATCGTGAAATATAACGTAAATTTAAATTCTCAACAAAATTTATTTCTTCATCAGTTTATATTTATTCTTTTAAAATACACAGCTTTATTTAGGATTTTATGGTACTAATTAGAAATAAACATCTATTGGGGAATTTGAAAAAAAAAAAAAAAAAAAAAAAAAAAAAAGAATTTACTATGTATCTAATTGAGAATTTTAATTATGGAAGTAAAAAATAAATATTCTTCATTAATAAAAAATATTTATTTATTTATTTACTTTTTTTTTTTAAGGATTGTAATAAAAATGCAGAAGATAATACATTTAGCAAATTTAAGCCAAAGTTGCTTGATGGAGAAATAGTTATTACAGAAGGAAACAGAGTATTATATTTTCCAAATGCTGCTGAAAGATCAAAAGGTTTATCTGGGAATTTATATGTTACTAATTTTAGATTTATGTTTGAAGCTTATGAAAGTGAAGATTGCTCAAAGGTTTGATTTTATGTACTACAATTATTATTATTTTTTTTATGTGCAAGTTAAAAAAATTCTTTAGTAGGTTGTGATTTCAGTGATTTCATTCGAATAATTTTTTGACTTTATAAATTTGACTTTCATATAATAAGTAAAATAATCTGAATCAACCGAATGTAATTATAGAATATTAATCACTTAAAAATAAATACATTTATCGAAAGGATCAAATTTTAAAATATCACAATAACATTTTTCTTTTTTTTTTTTTTTTTCAATTTCATTTCATGAGATATTTATCACTTAGTGAGTTTTTTATTACAGGAAATTTCTGTGCATCAAGTAAATAATTTATTAGGTAATCACGGAGCTTGTCTGACAAATGTACAATCTGTATATCAGCTATGTGGAGATAAGAAGAAAAAACTATTTCAAGATTCACAATTGTCTGATAAAATAAAGGGTTTACAAATAGTGTGTAAAAACTTGAAAGTTTTCACTTTCAACTTTGACCAAAGCCCAATTATTCAAGGGAAAAATATTGCAAAAACATTGCTTCATCATGCTTTTCCAGGGAGGCATCAATTGCTTTTTGCATACGACTATAGGTTGGCTTCTTTATAAATGTAATAAAAAAGTACTTGAAGTTATTTTTTAATTTTTTAATTTTAAATTTTCTAGTGATGAAAAGACTGAGAATTTTTATAAAAACACCAAAGTAGTTTTTTTTTCAAAAAAAAGTGAATGGGAAGATGAATTAATTAGAACATGTTCTGCCTCTGCTTCTAAATGGAGAATATCTTGTCAAAATCACAAGTTTCAAATATCGACTAGCCTACCACAATGGTTGGTGGTACCACATTCCCTTTTAGATTATGATTTTGTCACTGCATCACAGTCTTTTAGGTGCAACAGACCTCCGATTTGGACGTGGTCAAATCCCAATGGAGCAGCCTTAATTAGGACAGCAAATTTAATTCCCAGTTTAACAGATAGGTATTTCATTTTTAATTCTGACAGTAAAATAAAATATTTATTATTTCTTATTAATTATTATTAAAGTTGTTTTAATTGTGATATTTATCACTTTTAGAACTCAAGAAAATAGAATGCTTGAAAATATAAGAAAATGTCATCCTCAACTAAAAGGTCCTTGCATTAAAGATTTAGATAAGGATTTACCCTCGGTTATCGAATTACATCAAAGTTTTATAAAGTTAAGAGATCTTTGCATTCTCGGTAAGTTTTTCTATAAATTTCAATTAAATTTAAAGCTTAACACAAAGCTCTAATATAAAAAAGAGTTTTATATTTGTATTTAAACGAAATAATATTTTGATGCAACAGACAGTCATCGTCAATTTAAATTGCAAGACTCTCACATGTATTCATCCCTGGAAAATACTAAATGGCTTCATCACGTTTCTTCTTGCTTAAAATTATCCGTTGAAGCAGCGCGTGAAATACAAAAAGGTACCACCGTCGTGCTCCAAGGTAAAAAATTATTTTCTCTCTTTTTATTATTTTCAAATTAAACTTTTTCATTTCAGTTAATTTATAATTATTATTATTATTATTATTATTTTTTTTTTGTTTTCGAAATCAGAATCGGATGGACGAGATACGAGTGCCATTGTATCTTCATTAGTGCAATTATTATTAGATCCTCATTCAAGATCCATAGTAGGCTTTCAATCGTTAATTCAAAAAGAATGGATAGCTTTGGGTCATCCATTTTGCAAAAGGTTAGGATTATTGAAAAACAACAATTCCGAGCAGGCAAGTATTCATTGATTTTTTTTTTTTTTTTTTTTTTTTTGCAATAACAATAATAGTAATAATAATAATAATGCTAATAATAAAAAAAT